AACATCTGGATATACAGTTAGAAACCAACCTCTAAAACATCTGGATCTACAGTTAGAAACCAACCTCTGAAACATCTGGATCTACAGTTAGAACCAACCTCTGAAACATCTGGATCTACAGTTAGAAACCAACCTCTGAAACATCTGGATATACAGTTAGAAACCAACCTCTAAAACATCTGGATCTACAGTTAGAACCAAGTTCTGCAGCTAAAACATCTGGATCTACAGTTAGAAACCAACCTCTGAAACATCTGGATATACAGTTAGAAACCAACCTCTAAAACATCTGGATCTACAGTTAGAACCAACTTCTGAAACATCTGGATATACAGTTAGAAACCAACCTCTAAAACATCTGGATCTACAGTTAGAACCAACCTCTGAAACATCTGGATATACAGTTAGAAACCAACCTCTAAAACATCTGGATATACAGTTAGAAACCAACCTCTAAAACATCTGGATCTACAGTTAGAACCAAGTTCTGCAGCTAAAACATCTGGATCTACAGTTAGAATCCCAGCAGATGGCCGCTCACACTGAGCCTGGTTCTGCTGGAGGTTTCTTCCTGTTCAAAGGGAGTTTTTCCTCTCCACTGTCGCTACAAGCATGCTTAGTGTGAGGGATTGCTGAAGAGTCAATGAGTCGATGCAATCAGCTGGTTTTCCTTAGATAGAAAACTTTGAATCAATCTGACTGGATGATCTGGTTGAATTGGAGCTATAGAAATAGAATGAATAGAATTGACCCAAACATGTCAATAACAGCTTCTACAGTAAGGAGTCCATTTCAATCCTTCAGGTCAGAGAGGAGCCATCCTGACCGTTATTGACTGTTCGTGTTTTCGGCTCCTGATGGTATCTGCCTCAGACCCGTCAGGATGAGCTGCGTTCGCCGTGGGGCTGCAGGTACGATTCCCAGTCTGTCCAGCAAACAGCCTCCTTACAGGAGATCTCTGCCAGTTCACAGCAGCCATTATGCAGCACTGAAGAGCACCATGACTAATGATGTGTGGGCCTAAAAGCTCTGAGACACTTTGAGAGCCGCTGCTGCCAGCCTTTGTTTTTATTCTAATCAACCGTGATTTGTAAAAGGAAAAATCCTCTTTATTCTACTTATTACCCTGTAATTACTTCAGCTGCATTAAAGGTATTTAATGCAGGTTATCAGCAGAGGAGGGAAATTTATCGCTGGGTAGTTTAACATCAGACAGATAAGATGAGTTATCAGGAACGGGGAGGAGAGGAAAAAAACCTGAAGAGGTTTCAGTGTTTTATCCATTATTTTAACCAAATCTTTAAAATAATAACAATAAGGGCTGGGATTTAACTGGTTAATTTCTATTAATTAATAATGGATCCTGTAATTAACTCAATTAAAGATTTGTGACACGTCCAACCAATAAAAATATTATAAACTGGAGGAACTGAGAACAAAAATGAATACAGAAACTGATAAATCAAACAGCAACATAAGGTTGAATATGACTGTATTGTTTACACATTTCACATTACTACAGTCTGATTTATAAAAGAAATAAAATAAAGTCTGATTTATAAAAGAAATAAAGTAAAGGATTGCAGCTGCAAGAATGAAAGGAAATGTAGAAAAATAAGGTTCTGATTTCATGACTCAGCTTTTAGTAAGACCGTCATGTTTCCGTACTACGACGGAGAATTATTTTATCTTTTTATTGTGAGAATAAAATAGTAACTATAGAATAAAGTGGTAACATTATGAGAAAAAGTCGTAACTTTATAGGAGTTTTTTGTAGGAGCGTGAAGGAAGCCATCTTTGTTAAGAAAGAAAAAACAACCTTAAACAGAGAGCTTTCAGAAACCTGCAATGCAGCGATAGAGTTGATTCCTTCCCTCCATCAATGCAGCCGCCGTCACTATGCAGGGGAACAAAATACCTCGCCAGGCCAACAATGACCCTTAACGACTGCCTTTTCAGAGGAATGGGCCAATATCAGGTAGGGATGCACGATATAATCGGCCCCCTATCGGTATCGGCCATTATCTGCTATTGCTGCGTTTTTCTTTTCTTCAGACGTAGATCTCGTTAGGTTATTAATAAATGAACATTTTCTATCTGTTCTAGTTCTAGATGCTGCATAGACTCGTTAAGAGGAGCTTTGCTTTATAGAATGCACCGCTGTTTTTATAACTTTTAATAATCTGTCGAAGTCAAATGTGGGAAATAGTTTTAATGTGTGACAGAAGTGAAAACAATCTGCAGAGATCTGCTCACCCTGCCTAGTCAGAGCGCCTCTATACGCCGTCAGTTGAATATGGAAAAAACATCAGATCGTAGATTAAAACGCCGTAAAAACCGGTGAGTTCTGGCCTTAACTCATTCAGTCGTTCAATAACTGAAACCCTCTGATCACTAACTGCTGGATTAGAGGGTGAATAAATGCTTAAGTCAGGAGCTGAGGACGGATCCTGCAGGTTTAAGCTTCCACTACAGGAACAGTTTTGCTTATTTAACCTGCTTTTACTCTAATTGGATTGAATTATGAAGATGGAGCTTCATCCTGGTTCTGGAACCTTTGGGTCGATGTTTGGTGGGAGGTTAAAATCACTTTAGTGTTTGTTTTTCTAAATAACTAGGGATGCACGATATAATCGGCCCCCTATCGGTATCGGCCTTAAAACTGAATATCGGACATCGGCCCCCCCACCGATATTTAACCCGATATTTGATCAGCTTCTGAGTTTCTAAAGTCTAAAAAAAAATACTACTATTTGTTTCTCAAAAACTTCTTTTTTACAGACTTAAAAACTTCTAAAGACGAGGGAAAAAATATTGATCCATTAAAATATCCCAATATCTTCATATGCTGATATATTGCCCTTTAAAAACACCATATCAATCTCTTTTACTAATGAAATATTGCTATATGTCATCGTTATGCTACGAAATCCCCCGAAAATTCACCAAATGTTGCCATATTTTTATATGTTGATATATTGACGCGGTATCGATCTATTTTACTAACAAAATCTCACAAGAATTTGCAAAATATCACGAGAGTTTGTAACAGAACGATTCTGAAAGTAAAATAGATCGATACCGCGTTTTTAAAAATCTATTTGATATCAGCATATGAAAATATATTTGAGTTTATTATTTTTCAAAGTGTCAGAAATGGATAACAAAACTGCTATTTTCAATGACTACTTATTTTTGTCCAGCTTTAACATCGGTATCGATATCGGTTATCGGCTACATGAGTTTTAAAATATCGGCATATCGGATATCGGCCAAAATCCCGATATCCTGCATCGCTAGTATCAGGTATTGCAGGCCGATAATGACCCTAACGACCCCCATTCCAAAGGGGGGGACCCGTTCATCCGTTTCTATTTTCATGTTTTCTAAACTAAAACCAGGCTTTGTTGGGCTGCTGGATAAAACCTGGAACTAAACGCTATTTCTGACTTTTTGAAATTAAAAATCTTCATGGATGGAAGAGAAACGTCTTCAAACTTGGAAACAAAGTCCAGAGGATTGATTTTAACTTTTTTAACTTTTTCGGAGTCAATCAGTCACCACTGAGTCCAAAGAGTCGATCAAACCGTCCTGGGACGAACAGAAGAGGCTCTACATGTATATTCTGCAGCCGTTTCCTCCAAACTTAAATCCATGCAGCGAAAGCAAAGCCTCTGCTGAGCCGTTCATGTCGGGAGAAGAGAAAACAGATTTGTTTGCAGCCATAATTGAGCTTTTAATGGGATAAGTCAGTGTGTTGGTGTTTCACCAGCAAGTGCTTTTAGAAAAAAAAACTAGCTTCATTATTCTGCTGATTAATGGAGGAAGTGCACTCACATCACCCATCTACTGGCTGCCATTTAAACACAGCACTAATCGCTGGACTGGGAGCAGAAACAGGCACATTTATTATCTGGAATGAAAAGTCTCAGCAGAGATATTTGTGGTCGGTGGAGATTAAGATTTAGAGAGAAATCCTGACATTTTAAACGGCAGCTTGTTTCTTACTGACGCCTGTTTCCACTTTAATGCACATCAGTTTGCAAATGAATCAGGATTCAGCTGCTGAAACTGAGCTGGGAGACGTATGAACACTCACTTCATCAGGATGGGATTAAACTGATAATAAAGTAAAAAAATCTTGGTGTTGTTTTTGATCAGGACCTGTCATTTAAATCCCAGATCAAAGAGATTTCTAGAATTTCCTTCTTTCATCTGAGGAATATTGCAAAAATGATAAATCTCCTGTCCAGGGGTGATGCTGAGAAACTAGCGTTTTCCAGTGTAGTCCTGTTTCTCTGACTGTGACTAACTGGATGTGCTCTCTTCATCCTCTGACATGGGAGCTGGCTCGGAGCTCGTCTGCCTGGCTGTGTGTTTCCTGGACGGGGCCGCCTGTGGAGCTGGTTGACAGTTGCCTTTTGTATCTATGCTTCTTTTTCTATGTCTGCTTCTGTCTCCTTGAACCCCAGTGGGCCTCAGCAGATGGCCGCTCACACTGAGCCTGGTTCTGCTGGAGGTTTCTTCCTGTTCAAAGGGAGTTTTTCCTCTCCACTGTCGCTACAAGCATGCTTAGTGTGAGGGATTGCTGAAGAGTCAATGAGTCGATGCAATCAGCTGGTTTTCCTTAGATAGAAAACTGAATTGGAGCTATAGAAATAAACTGAATAGAATAGAAATACGTCCCAGAAGTTATGTCAGCCTCATTTCCAGGATAAATCATTAATATGACATGATGTATAAAACTGTTCTTGAATTGAGTGAAAAGCCTTTTTAAAAATAACATCTTTATCACTTGGATAACTTTATGCGTTTAATAAGTGGAGCGTCGCTTTAATTATCTCATAATGAGCATCTTCCATATTCAGCTCTAACCAACAGCTAGCCTCGCCGCCATTGGCTCAGCCTGGATCCTTTAAGTCAAGATCGGCGCCTGACCTTTGACCCACCCTGCAGAACACAGACAGCACACAGAGAACATACAGAGAGCAAAAGGATATGAATGGACCAGGATCCTGATGGCCAGTTTACGGATGGGGTGGAACGGGCTGAACATGTAGAGGGCGGACGTGGCGCTGAAGCGGAAGATGGCCTTCCCTTTGTTCAGGACTATGAAAGTCTGGAAGGAAAAAACAGACAGAAACGTGTTTCCATCATTGGTTTGAGTCTGAGCGGCAGAACGGCGCAGATTCACCCAGAAAAACATCGTTACCGTTAATTACTGAGGAGCAAAACTGGCTCTGGTCTTTACAGCTTGCTTTAGTCCAGATTCTACGGAGTGACTTTTGGTCCATTATTGTTTCAAGCAAAAAAAATTGTTTTTTGTAAATTAATAATTAATTAAATGTAATTAAATTTAATAAACAATCTAGAAATGAGACTTTGAAAAAAGCTGTAATTACAAATATAAAAAATTAAGTTTCTTGTGTTTTAGAGATTTTATATTTTCACATTTTATTTCTTAAAAATTCTGTTTTTCAGATTGAGTTTTATGAATTCTTTTCAAACTGCATCTAACAGATCAGATTCTCTGCACCTCTGGGGGCGGGACTTCCTCTGGACTGGGGAGCAAAGACATATTTCTTCTGCTCCGCTGTTGCCAACTTTGCGATTTTTCTCTCTCAATTTATTGCCTTTCCAGACCTCCTAGCGTCTTTATTAAAAAAAAAACAGACTGGCACCAAATCTACCCGTTTTTTTCTTAGTTGATGGAGACTTTGGCGACATAAAAGCACCGTACTCTGTCCTCCTGAGCGAGACGACCATTGGCCTCTCTCTATCTGTCTGCTGTGGCAACCTGCTCTGCAGCACAGAGTTAACCTTTGAACTTTGAATCCAGATTGCAAATGAAATGTGCAACGCTGCTGCTAGATTGCAAAATTGAATCATGAAAAACTAAATAGATAAACTAAAGAGCTAAATTAAAGACTATGGGTATTCTGATCTGCAGCTATAGCACCTAGATCTATGCTTTATAGTAGAAGGAAGAACTTTTTAATGCAGATGTTACAGTAAAGTCCTGCAGCTCTGGATTCTGGACCTACGGAAGAGGATTAGGGCCACTGAAAAAAAAAGTTGACTGATTTTTAAATTTTATTTCAGTTTAACATGGGAAATTCTGGGGAATTCTGACTTTTTTCTCAGAATTCTGAGATGAAAGTCAGGATTCTGACTAAATTCTGACAATAAAAAAGTCAGAATTCTAAAAAAAAGTCAGAATTCGGAGATTAAAGTCAGAATTCTGACTTTTTTTTTAGAATTCTGACTTTTTTATTGTCAGAATTTAGTCAGGATTCTGACTAAATTCTGACAATAAAAAAGTCAGAATTCTAAAAAAAAGTCAGAATTCGGAGATTAAAGTCAGAATTCTGACTTTTTTTTTAGAATTCTGACTTTTTTATTGTCAGAATTTAGTCAGAATTCTGACTAAATTCTGACAATAAAAAAGTCAGAATTCTAAAAAAAAGTCAGAATTCTGAGAAAAAAGTCAGAAATCTGAGATTAAAGTCATACTAAACTGAAATAAAATTTAAAAATCAGTTAATTTTTTTTTTTTCATCGGCCCTAATCCTCTTCCGTATGGACCAGCAGGTTTTCAAGGTCATGAAAAAACTGAAACCCTGCAGTTAAATGTCGACATGTTTGTGTTTAATTCAAAGGAAAATCGCACTAAATTCATCATTTTTGGTTAAAAATGGTCAGAATTCTGTTTTTTATCAGATAATTTAACTCTATTCAGAAGCAGCTCCACCTTAATGGATCCTGTTTTTATCTCCTCTGCTCTGTGACCTCTGCCTCTGGTGTTTAACACCTTTTTATTTATATCTAAAGCAAATCTTTAAAACATGGATACGAATCCAGAGATGGTGATTGGGTCCCACCCTCTTGTCCTTGAAGTAGTACGGGTCGATGTCCTCCAGGGGAACGCCCACCAGGTGAGAGGGGATGTCAGCGAAGATGCGGGGCAGCTGTTTTCCTGCCTCCAGGTCGGGCCGGGGCCGGGGGAGCTCCACGTCGCCCAGGTCCTGCAGTAAAACCACCGACAGAAACAACAACATCAGCTTCTCATCAGTCGCTCTGCGGTTTCTACCTGTTTTATATTTTAAATCTTCTGTCTGACAAACTTTTCACCTTTTAGATCAGGAACTGTAAATTATTTCTGCTGTTCTTTGTTGTAGCCTCTTTACTTTTACTAACATGTTTGTGTTTCTGAGGAAAAGTGTAACGCTAAATACTGTTAGCTTAGCTAGCTTACACTGGAAAAAATCCAAATCTAGATAAGAATTTTTTTCTTAAAATCTGTGCATTTGTTCTTACATTGAGGAGATAAAAGAGACATTTTGTCAATGGAACAAGACAATTTAGATTTAAAACACGAAAATGCAATTCCATTGTCTTATTTCAAGTGCATTTTATTTAAAAATACTCATTCCATTGGCAAATCATCACATTTACCTGCTCAAATTAGGGGTAAATACACTTAATTTAAGAAGTTTTTACTTATTTCTAGATCATTTTTGCAGTGTAGCATCCATATTTGATCTAAAAGCACAAAAATCGCCCAAGTTTTCACCCCTAAATCAACAAAATGCTGTTATGGAGTTTTTTAAGTCCAACATTGGAAAAAATCTAAATCTGAATAAAACATTTTTTCTTAAAATAAGTTCATTTGTTCTTGGATTGAGGAGATAAAAGAGACATTTTGCCAATGGAACAAGATGATTTGCATTTAAAATAAAAAAACACAATCTTATTTAAGTGCATATTATCTAATTATCTTATTTTAAGAGTGAAAATAATCAAACTATCTCATTTACCTGCTCATATTAAGGGTAAATACACTTAATTTAAGAAATGTGTACTTCTTTTTAGATAGTTTTTTCCAGTGTTGGTAGAATGGAGGCTGGTTTAGCTTAACTGGTTATTACACTGCAAAAAATGGAAATCTAAATAAGTAATTTTTGCTCAAATTAGGTGCATTTTTTCTTGAATTGAGGAGGTGAGACACTTTGCCAATGGAACAAGACAAATTACATTTAAAATAAGAAAAAAACAATTGCTTTGTCTTATTTCAAGTGCATTTTATCTAATCATCTTAAAAATACTCATTCTATTGGCAGATCATCTTATTTACCTGCTTAAAATAAGGGTAAATACACTTAATTTAAGACATTTTTACTTATTTCTAGATGTTTTTTGCAGTGTAGCCTGCACACTGCAAAAAATCTAGTCATTTTTTCTTAAAATTTGTGCATTTTTTTCTTGAATTTAGGAGGTAAGTGAGACATTTAACATAATAATATATTTCTTTTTTTTTTCCAAGTTCATATTATCTATTTTTTTTATTTTAAGAGGAAGAAAATCTCATTTCATTGGCAGGTCGTCTTATTTTCCTGCTCAGTTTAAGGCTAAACACCATCGGCAGCGGCTGCACTGAAAAAACATCGGTAAAAAATGTCTTAAATTAAGTGTATTTCCCCTTAATTTGGTCTCAAAATAAGACAATTAGATAAAATTCACTTGAAATAAGACGTTTATCTCTTTTTGTTTTCTTATTTTAAGTGTAAATTGTCTCTTTTATCTCCTCAAACCAAGAACAAATGTATTTATTTTAAGATAAACTGACTGATGTAGACTTTAATTTTTCCCCAGTGAGGGCTCCCTGTTTGTGTCTGTCTGTGAATCCGTACCTCCTGGTATTGCTTTTTGCGTCGGGCCTCCTCCTGGGTGATGCGCTGTTCGATGGCCGCCAGGGAGTCCGGCGTGAAGCGCTTAAAGCTCTCTGGTCCCATTGGAAACACACAGCCAGCCATCTTCTCATCCTGATCCTGCTGCTAACTGGTCCAGTATACCAGCTGAAGACATGCAAACACAAAGAATATACGTCCCACTTTTAATATCTAACATTCTGCTTCCCAGAACATCTGGATTTTTAAATAATAATCATCTTTAGACGGAGAGAAAAGCTTGATGGTTTCTCTCATATAGCCTGTTAGTATAATCTGATGTCAGACTGTTCAAACACCTGTTGAGAATACTTTGAATCCTTGAATAATGAGACGAGGAGCGCTTGATTCGAGGACCCGGGGTGTGATTTAGTGATTTCTTCTGGTGCAGGTTGATTGCATCCTCTGAGACAGCGACCTGCAGCTCAGGACGACCCACAGCATCACACCATTAAAGCTCAACTCTGAGGGTTTGAACAGCAGCAATCAGCCTGAAAAAAACCCAGATGGAGGCGAATCACATCTACCTCCTCCTGTTCCTCTCAGCAGCGGAGCACACCTTCCCTTTATCCGCCCTAAACTTTGGGTTTCCTTCACTCCAGAATCATCAGTTGGTCTCTGTTCCGGTTTCAACAGGATTTCCCTTCAAACACAAACACTAGTGTGGATGGCAGGGTCGTTGTTTAAAGTTGATTGCTCGCGGGAATTTGAAGCAGTCTAGTCATTCTGAGAGGGATTTAGGTCAATAGGAGTGAGGAAAAGGAAAAGGACAGGTTCCCTTCATCATTTAGATTCATTTTCCACAGCAGAGAGTAAAAAGATGAAGCAACAGATGCTGCTGATTGATTAGAAATACGGGATTTTCCAGACTAGAGCGCACCTCACTAAATAAAAATAAATACATATCATCAAAATTCAAATAGGAAAGGGGGACAGTGAAGTTTTCATTCATATTTATTAATATTTAAACAACAAAAATCAAGTGTAGAATCCTGGAATGTGCCTCTCCTATTCCTAATGCTACGTTCACATCTAAAGCAGCAGGAGCAGCAGGAGCAGCAGGTTTCCTTGCAAACTCAACGCTTGATTCGCATCAAGGTGCAGCAGAAGGTCCTGCAGCGCGTAATGAGCAGCAGGAGCATCTTCTGAGCATCTGAGGCGCAGGATACGCTGGAGTTGGATAGCTTGAACTTTAGCCGCTCTGAAGCCTGAAGAAAAACAGGTTAACGAGGTTTGTTCTGAACTTCCACGTCAGGATGCCAAAATGTCGTATTTCTAAACGATTCTCTGGGAGGAAACAGAAACTAATCTGGATGTTTTCACCAGGGAAGGTGGTGAAACTGAATGTGATTGGACGGATCACACAGAAACTTAAACTATTAAAAAAGCACAAGAGAACCGGAATAAAACTGCTGGAAAGATCTAACAACTGATGCAGGCGTGAAAGAAAGTAAAAGAGATTAATGCTACGACTGCAAGCAGCAGAAGCTGCTGGATTTCAAGTAAAGTCAACAGCTGATGCGCATCAAGGCGCAGCAGAAGGTCCTGCGGGTTTAGAGCAGCAGAAGGACTGCTAGTCAAGATTCTCAGTCATCCAGGTTATATTCATTTAAAAAAGGAAAAAAAAACAAACACAGGGAAACAGAAAATCTTGCATATTCAGCCAGGCCAACAATTCCCTCTAAGGGCCCCCCTTTCAGAGACATAGACAGGTATGGGGCATTGCAGGCTAACAAAGAAGCCCCCCCCATTCCTAACCCGTTAGTTAGTCAGGGCTAACATTAGCCTGTCTGCAGGACTAACGTTACCCTGTCTGCAGGACTAACGTTACCCTGTCTGCAGGACTAACGTTAGCCTGTCTGCAGGGCTAACATTAGCCTGTCTGCAGGACTAACGTTACCCTGTCTGCAGGACTAACGTTAGCCTGTCTGCAGGACTAACGTTACCCTGTCTGCAGGACTAACGTTAGCCTGTCTGCAGGACTAACGTTACCCTGTCTGCAGGACTAACGTTAGCCTGTCTGCAGGACTAACGTTAGCCTGTCTGCAGGACTAACGTTACCCTGTCTGCAGGACTAACGTTAGCCTGTCTGCAGGACTAACGTTAGCCTGTCTGCAGGACTAACGTTAGCCTGTCTGCAGGACTAACGTTAGCCTGTCTGCAGGACTAACGTTACCCTGTCTGCAGGACTAACGTTAGCCTGTCTGCAGGACTAACGTTAGCCTGTCTGCAGGACTAACATTATACACACACATATAGCTATATATATATATATATATATATATATATATATATATATATATATATATATATAGCAACAAGGCATTAAATATTGCCTGCAGGACTTTTGTATTTGTTGTAAATAAAAGATAAAAATAAATGAGAATCTTCACCAGCAGAACCAGAACCAGGCGCAGTGTGCATGCATTACCTGCTGTTGTTCTTTTATAGAAAATAATTTATCCTCTTAAAGAAAAAACAGCAACAAATCCTAATGAAGCGGTTTGATGGAAATGTTCACCTGCTAAATCGTACAGCAGCGATATTAGCTACTACATTCACTGGCTTTCTTTATTAAAGAGCTAAAGTTTCAGCTGAAGTGGGAACGCCATCATTAACCCCCCCCTCATCAGCGGTTCATTCAGGATGGGTCGCAGTGGCAAACGGCACAATCTGCAGCTGCACAGAACTGCTAACGCGGTTAGCTTCAAACGGCTAGACCTGTGGGTTTTGAACAGGTGTGAGTCCAGGTGTGTGTTCAGGCCATCTGCTGCGGATCCTAATCCAATGAGGAGACAGGCCTCGTTTTTCAAGCCTTCCTGCATTTCTGCTTCACAGCTCTCAAATCTGATTTCTGCAGCGTGTTTGGGTGAACATTAAAGGAGAGGCTGGCTCTGGCTTCTGTTCTTATCCAGCACTGTCATCCACTCAGTCACCAACACACACACACGTCAAATACAGTAGCTCCTGATGAGCTCCTCCGCCCCGCTTTCCATTCTGCTCCGACACTTTGTCACGTACGGAACGCTCGGCGCTTCCTGAACGCATCACGGAAACCAGAAATCCGTCCAAATGAGAGACAGGACAGCAGACCATGAGCTGGGTTCCCTGCAGAACGGATCCAGGAGACCATCGTCCTGTTTCTCAGGAGGTTCTGTCCTTTAGGGCAGGTTTGTGACATAAGTTAAGATGCAGCTGAGATGCATGTTATTTTCAGCTCTTAATTAAGGCATTAAAAACAGGAGCCACCCAGGAGGAGGAGGGGGGCTCTGCAGAACCAGCTGACAGACAGTGGACCCCTCCACTGTCTCATGTTCCTCTGGCTCGCTTTGACCTCAGATCTCTACCGTCAAAACATGAAAAAAATCCCTGAGATTTATTTGTTATGCTCAGTTACCGTGGTAACAAGCATGTTTTCAGACACAGTGACAACGTGTTCACCAACGGAGGGAGGAAAACATCAGATGTTTCTCTGATTTCAGATCCAAACGTCTCCTCTGACTAATCCTCTAACTGTCGGCCATGTTACTTCCAGTTTATATCAGAGAAGAAAGGCTCACATGTTGTTTTTTTTACATTGTAATTAAAGGAAAAGTCCGGCAGCAAGGATGATCAATGGATTATTATTTATACTATTGTTGCACCGATGCCATTTTTTGGCCCCGATACCGATACCCGATACCTGGCTGTTCAGTATCGGCCAATACCGTCTGTTTGAAATGGATGTGTGTGAATATATGATCAACTGCATACTACTAGGATGTAAAATAATCACCATCATGGCTTCATGTCCAGCTGCTGCCTTCCTTTGTGAAGCAGGAAAAATACTAAAACAAAGTGAATCCAGTAGAACTTTTTATTCTCTACCTGGAATGAGTGACAATAGTTGAAGAAACTTTTGGCTCTCTAAATGGTATCGGTGTCCTATTGGTTGGTACTTGCCCCATACTGGTATCGGTGCAACACTACTTTATACCTAAAACTAACACGTACGCGTCGTTCTTCTATTGTGATGCTTCAAAATGCACATAAAAAACTGAGGCAAACACTTCTGCACAATGATTCACCAATTCATGAAAACACAGGGCTTCACGCTTTAAAGTAGCAGTCTGGTCAGTGAGGAATAATCAATGGATCATTATTTATTATTATTTATTTAACCATCTGATTGTTTGTAACCATCTGTCTGTAACAGTCTGTCTGTCTGTAGCCGTCTGTCTGTCTGTCTGTAACCATCTGTCTGTCTATAACTGTCTGTCTGTAACTGTCTGTTTGTCTGTAATGGCATGTCCATCTGTAACTGTCTGTCTGTAACCGTCTGTCTGTCAGTAATCGTCTGTCTGTAAATGTCTGTCTGTAACTGTCTGTCTGTCTGTAACGGCATGTCCGTCTGTAACCGTCTGTCTGTAACCGTCTGTCTGTAACCGTCTGTCTGTCTGTAACGGCATGTCCGTCTGTAACTGTCTGTCTGTAACTGTCTGTCTGTAACCGTCTGTCTGTAACCGTCTGTCTGTAACCGTCTGTCTGTCTGTAACGGCATGTCCGTCTGTAACTGTCTGTCTGTAACTGTCTGTCTGTAACCGTCTGTCTGTAACCGTCTGTCTGTAACCGTCTGTCTGTCTGTAACGGCATGTCCGTCTGTAACTGTCTGTCTGTAACGGCATGTCCGTCTGTAACTGTCTGTCTGTAACCGTCTGTCTGTCAGTAATCGTCTGTCTGTAACCGTCTGTCTGTCTGTAACGGCATGTCCATCTGTAACTGTCTGTCTGTAACCGTCTGTCTGTCAGTAATCGTCTGTCTGTAACTGTCTGTCTGTAACTGTGTCTGTCTGTAACGGCATGTCCGTCTGTAACCGTCTGTCTGTAACCGTCTGTCTGTCTGTAACGGCATGTCCGTCTGTAACTGTCTGTCTGTAACCGTCTGTCTGTAACCGTCTGTCTGTAACCGTCTGTCTGTAACCGTCTGTCTGTCTGTAACGGCATGTCCGTCTGTAACTGTCTGTCTGTAACCGTCTGTCTGTCAGTAATCGTCTGTCTGTAACCGTCTGTCTGTCTGTAACGGCATGTCCATCTGTAACTGTCTGTCTGTAACCGTCTGTCTGTCAGTAATCGTCTGTCTGTAACCGTCTG